CAACACGTGTTTCGCCATACAATGGCTTCCTCGGGCGTGTCTTAATTAAGACACGTCTAAAAACACTTTATTGTGTGATTTTCACTAGATAATTTTACAAAAACGCAACACATGTTTCGCCATACAATGGCTTCATCTGGCGTGTCTTCCAACTAATTCAACTAATTAGTTGTTAGTTTGTTAAATGAAAATATGACTCGGAGTGAAGATCCTCATAGTATCACTCCACCCCATTTCAAATTTGATCGTTTTAGTGCAAGAGTTTTCATGATTATCAGCATTTACAAAAGTTCATGTTTGGTAAAAAAAATATCGCAATTAATTTATATCTTGTAAACGGTAATAGATAGGTATAGAGAAATAGTATATGAATTTGTTGACAAAGTGATAATGAATCATAATATGATATTATTTACGGGGTGTTTCATTTGAAAAATCAAAGAAGCTGCTACTTTATAGTAGAAGCGACAACGCCGCTTCGTCTGAAATATTTTAGGCGTGTAGGTCATATTGATTTATGCATACTGTGAAATTCTCAGGTTGATCTGTTGAATAGTTTGTCAGAAACGGCTAATTAACGCTCATCATGAAAAGCCCTGTATATGTAGGCTCTCTGACCAACTGCCGTGATCAGTACTTACCATTCACTTCGTATTGGCCTATTGCCTGCCGACGTTGGAAATCCGAAATTCCCCGCTAGGTTGAATTAGTTGTTATTGTATGTTTCTCAGTTTTCTTCACCTCTCATTTTTCAGCCGTTGCCTGCCTTATTCTCTACCTTTCCAAGAATATGTGTTGCATATATTGCTATTCATCACTTCCAGAAGGTTGACTTACATATTAGAGCCATATCGCCTGAAAAACAATAGCAGTTAGCTCTGGGTTTCTGAATACCGATATTATTTTCGGTGAATATTTCGCAAATAGTCGTACTGAATGGAAAAGATGTAGCAACTTACCTCATAGTTTTCATTCCATGGCATTAATAAGGATCAGTAAATAGTTGAAAATAGATTGGAGTCAATATTTTTGTAAACATTCAATAACCAGTGAATATTACTGGAGTTTTTTCCCAACATCAAATCGTTATTTTTAAAACCTCGACACGTGTTTCGATCACCAAGTGATCATCTTCAAAGAGGAATATTAAAACTAGAAACTGATTCGAGCTAACCTTATTTATGCTATAAAGGTAACCCATACAGGTAAACCATCCAGGCGTACCAACCATACAGGTTTACCAACCTAAATTAATGTTACAATTTTGCCTTATCTATTTTTTCACAATATATGTTTACATAAAACAATTTTCAGCTATTTAAAAATTAATTTCACAATATTGCCTATCCATATTTATTTTTGCAATGTGTCCTTATGTAGTAATCAGTAAACCCAAAAATATTATTTTATTTTAACAAGTTATATAGTATTGGTATAGGTCCGTCATCGTTATTCATAATATTATTTTAAGTGTGCTATGTGTTCCTTATATCTTACTTTAATAGATCTTTTTGTCTGTCCATAATATTTTGCATCGCAGTCCTTACATTCAATTTCGTAAATTCCAGACTTTTCCGAATTCTCAACATTGTCTTTTGGACTTCCCAAAAGGCTCTGTAGTATGTGACTTGTTTTAAAAACCACCTTCATACCTAGTTCCTTGAAAATTTTCCAAAGTTCCTCGTATATTGGTGGTATGGAACAGAGATGTATTTATTTTGGTTTCTGTCCTTTCTGAAAGTCGAGATTTCGTTCATTCTTAACCTAAACTTCTTTTTCCTTATTATGTCATCTACAATACCCATCGAAAAACCGTTAGAGGCTGTTAATTCCTGTATCGTACGTCTTTCTTTTGTGAACCTATCATGTGTTAGAGGGAAAGTCAAAAGACGATGCACTAAAAAATTCAACCCAGCACGTTTGTGCTATCCACAGTGATGCGAACTGTCAGGAACATACCTGTATGTGCTTGTTTCTTTTCTAAATATATCGTATTCTAACCCTCCATATTGGCTCATCATTACCAAAGCGTCAAGAAATGGTAGTTGTCTCTTATTTTTTAACTCATACGTGAATTTTATTGATGGACATCTACTATTTGAAATGGAAACAAAATCGTCAATATTCGATTTTTTGGTATCGAATATCGTGAAAATATTATCCACATACCTTAGCCAACTCCTAGGAAAATACTTCGACCTTTTTTTGGTTTCCATTTCGAATCTGCTCATGAACAGGTCTGCCAGGTAGGGGAACAAGGGGTTTCCCATGGCCGTTCCTTCCTGTTGTTCATAAAAGCAACCTTCTACCTGGAACCGATTTTATTTCTTTCACAAATTAGTAAGTGAAACGAATTCATCGATTTCGTTATTATTGAAATTATTTTTCTCTACTAAAGATGTTTTACCTTGCAGTGGTTTAATTATTGGTAGTAAAAACCTGGACAAGTTCTGAGTGGCTGAATCTCTGGAGCTAATGATCGGTCTGAGCGGAACATCCTATAATATTTCAATTTTTATTTATTTGGTTGTTGTTGTATGTTATTTCTTTGTAATTTCAGTTTTTT